TCAGTGATGGTTATGGGCAGCTGCAGAGAAAGGGAGCATTACACAGGAACTGAAGAGGGAACTAAATAGAGTTCTTCAGGCAGAAGTGCAGGAGGGATAGGGAAGGGTATTTCAGACAAAGGGAACACAAGCGCAAAGACAGCCACGAAATAGCACAGTATATTTCAGTGAGCAATTGACTCACTGACTCATTTGTGTAATTGAATTTCTCCTCAGTAGCCATTCTGTGATTTTTTATTTTTTATTTTTTTGGTACCAGGGATTGAACTCAGGTTTGCCTAACCACTGAGCAACATCCCAGCCCTTATTTTTTATTTTAAGACAGGGTCTCATTAAGTTGCTTAGGTTCTCAATAATATGCTGAGGCTGGCTTTGAACTTGTGATCCTCCTGCCTCAGCCTCCCAAGCTGCTGGGATTATAGGCATGCACCACCACACTCAGCTGTAAATGTTTTTTCATTGTGGGGCTTTGGGATGTGAAAGACTGCTTAATTCTAAACCATAACAAATGCAGTAAAATACTATTTTTAAATTGTTACCTTTCTCTGATTATGGACATTTATGCCAAACTTTTTTTTTTTTTGGTAAGGTACTAGGGATTCAACCCTTTAGCACTTTATCACTGAGTAGACTCCCAGTCCTTTTTATCTTTCATTTTGAAACAGGGTCTCACTAAGTTATTGAGGGTGTCACTAAATTGCTGAGGCTGGCTTTGAATTTGCAATCCTCTTGCCTCAGCTTCCCCAAATTGCTGGGATTACAGGTGTGCACCCCACTGTGCCCCTCATTAAAATATAATTTTTTAAACAAAAAGAAAAGTTCACATTTAGTAAACAAAGGCACTGAGCTCACCTTTAAAAAGAGACCAGTTTGGGGATCAAGTAATGTTTCCATGGCCAGGCACCATGATGCATACCCACAATTCCAGCAACTCGGGGGGCTGAGGTAAGAAGACAGCAAGTTCAAGGCCAGCCTCAGTAACTAAGTGAGAACCTCAGCAATTTAAGTGAGAATGTATCTCAAAATAAAAAAAAAATGAAAAGGGTGTGGATGCAGCTCAGTGGTAAAACACCCCTATAACCAAGAAAGGAAAAAAGAAAAAGAGAAGAAAAAAGTAATCCCTTGGGAAAGACATTTATATTAGACTATGAAAGTTGAATGGGAATTATCCAGTGGAAAGAGGATATCAGGAAGTGGGAAAAGCACATGGGAGTACTCTGAAGTGAGAAAGAGCCCAGTATATTGAAAGTCTCTGTGGAGGCCATATGATATATTTGGGGTTTATCCTGAGGGATGGGAAACCTTGAGTGTTTTAAGTAGAGAAGCAATATAATTACATTTATGATTTTAAAAGATTGCTTTAGCTGTCAGATGGAGAAAGGACCAGGGTGAGGATGAGATTATAGGTGCTCCTCAACTTACAATGAGTGTTCCTATAAATCCATTGTAAGCTGAAAGCATCTAAGTCCAAAATGTATTTAATACACTAACTTTCTGTGCACTGTAGCTTAGCAACACAGCATCCTGTAGCTACCAGTTGTTTACTCTGATGATCACTTGGCTGACTGGGAGCTATGGCTCATGGGTGATACTCAACATGGTGAGAGAGTACCTTACAGCACATTACTGACCTGGTAAAACATGCAAATGCATGGTTTCTATTGAATGTACATTGCTTTCACAACATTGTCAAGTTGAAAAATCATAAATTGTAAGTCAGGGACAGTCTACTTATATCAACCCACAAAAGAGGCTGTTGGATTAAATTTGGTAGAATGATGGACTGAGGAGTGAGATTTGAGAAATAATGGAAGAGAAAAGTAGTTAGGACCCGTAATACATTGGATATACACGACATGTCAAACTTCATCTTTGTTTACGTGTCACATGATGTAAACAGATGTTTTTATACATTCCTAGGTTTGCTTTTTAGGTTTGTTTTCAATTTACATTTTAAACTCTTACTGGATTAAACTTCAACTGGATGGAGACTAATGATAGTAAATATCAGAAAATATTTTAAAATTATTTGCGGTGGCATATGGCCCTATAATTCTGGATTTTATAGCAAAGCTGTTTGACTCCTGTCCCATTCATTTGGATAATACTATACTACTTAGGAAACTGGAATATGCTTTTAAAATGTGACAGTCTTCAGCCTGTTTCCCTATTAGAGGCAGAGAAAAATAAAATGATGCCTTTGGCTTAAGAGAAACAAAATTAACGCAGTTGTTTTTGGTAAAAAGTACAAGTTCTGTACTTTTTTATGAATGAAATTAGTTTTCTTAAGTAAGAATAATAGTTTAATTTTCTACAATAAGTTAATTTCAGGTGTTCTTTTTAGACTTAGAGCTGAACATACCAAATGAGGGACAGATAATGTGCAGATAATGCCGGTGGTTCTTCCCAGATGTGAAGGCAGGATTTGTCTTCCTGTGCTGGTTTTTATGTCAATGTAATAAAAGCTCTCTTCCCTGTGTACTAGAATCTCTGGGTTTTTAAACAGCTAGATTTTTATGTACTTCCCTTTACTGCCTCCATAAAGAGCAAAGAAAAGAGCAGAATGCAGAGATATGGAGCAATGCAAAATGTGTCTTCATGCAGGAGAAGGAAGCCAAAAGCAACGCAGAAGGCTGAGAAATCTGTCACACCTGATAGAAATTCCTATATTTGACCCAGTAATTCTTAGTTTCTTGGTTTCAAGAGAAACTAAATGATGGGGTGTGATCCTATGTACTCCTTGAATTTTTTAAAATCTCTTGGATGCACATAAAAGACAAAGCCTTTGAGGACTTATTTGGTATGCATGTTCTTAAAATACTTCTGGCTTCTATCACAGAAGCCGTTGAAATACCTCCATTGTGTGCTCTTTCTGAACTTGCCAAGATGTTTTAAAAAGTGAACATTGTCAAAGAGAAAAAAAAAAAAACCTGTCTCTTGATAAAGGAATCATGCATTTTGACCAAGGCATGTTTATGATAATTAAAAAATATAAAGTATATGATTTAAGGGACTGATTTCATTGGATTCCTGAAAAGTTACTCAAAAGGGAAAGAAAATGATTTCTGAACATATTTAAGCATATATTAGTTAGAAAATATACTGAATTTAAGATCCCAGGGGCTGGGGGTATATCTCAGTGATAAAGCATACGCTGAGCATGTTCGAGGCCCTAGATTTGATTCCCAGCAACAACAATGGTCTTGCTATAAGTATTTAAAATTCGATGTTTTAACATATATAATTTGGAAAAAAAATGTAAAAAATGAGAAGTTTCTGGTAAACTAAAAAATTAGAAACTCCAAATTTTTCCTTATTCATAAGACCAAATGACCACCATGTCAATTAATAATAGAAGAGAGAATTAAAAGTGAAACTATCTTAATGAGTGTTTATTTTATCCCCTGGGAAAGGAAACTGAATGCTAGCCGTTGGGCTATCATAGTGAGATGCAGGGCCTTCCAACATTTTATACAAAACAAGTAAACATGGGCTATATAACAGCCAGACAAAGTTTAATTTTAAGAAACATCTTCCCAGAGAAAGAAAAGAAGATATCACAAGAACAGTTAACTGTACACTAAGGCCTGGAGAAATGGAACTAGGCTTTGCTGAACCTTGGGATCAGTACGGTGTGTTTGATGGAATTGGGCTGATGGACTGGAATACGTAAGCCAGAGTGGAAAGTGGCCCTTCAGAGCCAACACCAATGGAGCCCGTCATTCTCCAGGGCTGCCTTCCCAGCCCATGGCATTCCTGTCCAACCCTGTTGTCCAGCTTCCTTCCACACCAGTTTGTGCCAGAATCACAGCCTCCCTTCACCATGGGCTAGCAGTCTCTTTACCAAGATCTTAATTGTCATTGGCTCTCATAGGGACAATTGTCATAACTTCTGTTTTTGAGGTCTCCAAGCCTCACAATCAGACAATTTAAGTGACAGTGCCAAATTAAATGCATCAGAATGCAGGGTGGTGGCTTAAATCATGTAGTTGGTTATCATGTGATCTTAAATGGAAAAAAATGTGTAAAATATAAACTTAAAAGAGTTGTTCATATTATTGGAATCTCAATTTTTTTATGATCTTGATGATCTCTATTAACACAATGATTAAAGTGGATTTTTAACACGTGATTCTGGGTCCTCATCTAAAACCAGGATGCTCTGTATATCTTATTGTTTGAACAGCTCGATCTCATTGCTTGAACATCATCTATTTAAAGCAATTCCAAATATTAAAGAATCTAATTAAGTGGTCTCCCACTCATTAAATACTCTAATTTTCATTTTCACTCTTTTGTGAGATTTTTAAATGATTAAAATGTAGAGACCATAGAAAATACCATGTTCTTAAAAGAGGTTTTCTCATTGTGAAAAGAATGTTAAGATATTAATAGCTAACTGTAGCCCTTGGAATAGGAAATTTAAAAATTAAATGTACCTGCATTCCTAAAATTATCTGTAGCAACATCATGATTTGGATCTTTGACATTCAATCTGTAAAATCAAAATTCCTATGTAAAAAATTTGCTGGTTTCAACCATTTTAGCCTCTGCCTACAAATAACACTCTCATTTCAAGAAATGGAAGATGAGCTAAAGAATTTTAATTTAAATCAGGAGTTTCCATGTTCCCTTATTTTCCCTATTTAAAGTTTTGTTTTTCCTAACAGAAAGAGTCTAATATATTTTCTTTGAACAGAATTTATTGAGGGAAAAAACAAGTTATAATAGAGCTCCTTTCGAAGTAATATGCATACTTTTTTCCTATGACCAAAACCTGTGGAAATAGAAAAAAAAAAGGATTATTTTAATTCATTCACACCTGAAATTTTCCCAGACTCCGCTTACCACCGCACCTAATTCTGGGTTCATCGCATGACAAATTAATTTCTAAAATCGTCATTTCTGTGTGCATTTGCTGTATAAGCTTTGTTGAATGCTCCAAAGATTCATTTTTTGAACTCAGATGAATCACAGTCATTTCTCCCTCATTTACTCAGTGCTGCTGCTGAAGCCGACGGTATCGATCCACTGATAAGCATCCTGTCTAGCAAACGAGACGGAGCCATTGCCAACGCCGCCACCGTGTTAACCAACATGGCCATGCAGGAGCCCCTGCGCGCCAGCATCCAGGGCCGCGACATCATGCACGCCCTCCTGGGCCCGCTGCGCTCTGACAACCCGGTGGTGCAGAGCAAAGCCGCGCTCATGGTGGCTGCCACCGCGTGCGACGTGGAGGCTCGGACAGGGGTGAGACTTTTCCCAGCATTCATTCTGGTTTTCCTGCTCAGTACCTATTAGTGGATGCATTTGAAACATTTTCAGGTACGCGAACATTTCCGTGATTTAAGTCCTTTCATAACTGGAACACCACAATGAAAAAACAAGTTGGCATTTTGTGCAGTTTAGGGGTTGGTTGGTTGGTTTTTCTAAGCAGTGCTGAGCAGTGAACTGAGGGCCTTGCACACTCTAGGCAGGCGCTCACAAGTTGGCATTTTTAAGCAAAGAAGGTGAGCAAATCCTAGCAACCCAGCAATTCTGTTTCTATGTGAGATTTCTAAAGGAATCTCTCACCTCTGCGTACCAGGAAGCATTATTTATAATATCTAAACAAGTGGAAACAAATCATTTGTCCTAGTGTTAAGAGAACAGATGAATAAATTATGGTGTATTCACAAAACTGACTCTCATGAAGGTCAAAATGAAATGAACCACAGCTTGACATCAGCAGGAATGAATTCCATCAACCTTACGCTGAATAAAGACAAGTTGTAGAGAACAATACTTATGCTTCCAATGCAGCATTCAAAAATATGCAAAGCTAAGCTTTATGTTGTTTAGGCATCCAAATATATAAGTTAAAATGATAAAGATAAGCAAGGTAATAATTAATCCCAAATTCAAGAAGATGGTTGCTCTGGGGAGATTTAGGGAGTGGATTCGATTGGGAGAAACACACAAGGGTTCAAGATCATTGAAATGCACCATGGTAGACAAACAAGACTGCCTTTTATTAGGATTATTTAAATTACACATGTGATTATATTCTGGTGTTTCTTTTGTACACCATAAACTTTAAACATAGAAGTTTCTTTTTTGAAAGCTGATCATATAAAAATCTTGGTGCTTATGGTGATACTAGTATATCTTTACTAAAACTTGATATAAACTTACAAATATCCTTTTTCTCTCAATTTTCTCCTTTTGAAATGTGTCACCATTGAACTTATTCAAACACCCAAGGACTTTGTTCCTCTTCCCCAATAAAAATAACAAAAGTTAACATTTATTGAGCACCTACTCTGTGCCAGGCTCTGTGCTAAGCATTCAAGACTTGCTTGAAATAGGCATGTTTGCAATCCAGTTTACAAATGATGAAGAGGAGGTTTAGAGAAATAAGATGCACAAAGCAGAGTTGGTAAGTGACATGAGAACACACCCAAGTCCAGAGCCCAAGTTGATACTCATGCTCTCCTACTCATTTTTCTTTTGTTTCTTAGATATCTATTCTATCTCCTTCCCTTTTTCCTGTTACTCATCCATTCAGGTATCCACCAGATATTTATTTGTCAAGTACTACATGCCAGGCAATTCTGCTAGGCACTGGGAACACAGTGTTAAACTCAAGTGTCATGGCCACATTTTCCTGCATGAGTTTGCAGAGCAGTCGGTCTAGTTCCTGAAAGATTGCGGAAGGCTCTTTACTGCTTTTGCTCCTCATACCTCCTCCAGACCAATCTGTGACCAATATGTGACCTTCATCACACCATTACAAGTCTCCCGTGGCTTTCCACTGCCACATAGTAAGGGTTAAGCAGCTTAGTGTTACATTGGAGGGCCCTGGATGATCCTCACCTGCCTACCTATTCAGCCCAAACTCCAGCTTTTCCCAGGTGGGACTCTACACCCCAGAAATACCACACTGTTTGTTGTTCCATCAGAACATGCCATTCTCTCACTTATACCTCCTTGATTTGACTGCATGGAAAGCTAGTCTCCCTGTGATCCATCTGATAGATTCCTCTTTCTCTTTCAAAAGGCAGCTCAGGGGCTGGGGAGGTAATTATGTGGGAGAGTGATTGCCTAGCATGCATGAGGCCCTGGGTTGGATCCCCAGAAGCACAAAAATAAATAAATAAAGAAACAAAGAAACAGCTTAACTGTCCTATCCTCCATGAGGCCTTATTTTAGTTTTCAAAGTTGAGTTCATCATCCTCTGTGCTTCCATTACACCCCACACATCACTTCCTTTTCATCCCTTTTGCACTTTATGGTTCTTGCGAGAAGGACTATAGGCTCTTTGAGGTTTTGAAGAAGGGAACTGAGTTTTTTCTTCCCTGTGTCCGTGTCATTAACATATACCTGGTACATACTGTAGTCTTAGTAGATAATTGTTCAATGAATGAGAGCATGAGTGAACAGAGGAATTAATAAATGAAGGAGGTATTTACCAAGGGAACACATGGAGTTTAATAACTATCTTGTGTTTTACCCAGAAACAAAGATGTTCAGAAATTTGACTTGCTAAGCATAGGGAGCTAAAAGAACTTTTCTGAGCTATCCAAGTTACGTTTGCTAATGTGAAAATCTTGCCAGAGTCTGAGTTTGAGACAAGAATAACTGAAAGTGGAACATGGTCCACGAGGGCTCTCAACTTTGGATACTGTCTTTGGTACTAATATTTGATAGAATATTATTTTGATCCTTCAGGCTCCTATAATACAGTATTGCATTTTATTTATTTATTTGTTTGTTTATTTATTTTTTGTGTGATACTGGATTGAACCCATGGCCTTGTGCATGCAACGCAAGTACTCTACCAACTGAGCTGTATCCCTAGTCCCAGTATTGTATTTCAGACCTGAGACAACAGCTCTGTCAGATATTTTTGTTTTCCTGATTAGAACAATTTTACACATTAGTAATTTATTTTAATAAAGTAATTAATGTAGCTCCTTCAAATTCTTTTCTTGTTCTTTTTCTTCTCTACTTCTTAAAGAAATAGAGAAATTGTGCAGATAGCACTGGTGGGTCCTTTTCTAAGAATTGCTTCAATATTGCTTTGGCCACACTGCTGGCTTGGTGACTGTGTCCAGTGATGTGGGTGCTGCTTGCCCACATTGATTGCTTCTAATCCAGCCTTGGGATTGTATTAGTTTCCTGTTGCTGCTATAACAAATTATCACCACTTAGTAGCTTAAAGCAATAAAAAGCTATTATCTTACACTTTGGAAGGTCACAAATCCAAAAATGGGTCTTATAAGCCAAAGTCAAATTGTTAACAGGACTGTTTTCCCTCTGGAGTCTTTAGGGGAAAGTCCATTTCCTTACCCTTTCCAGCTCCTCGAGTCACCTGCATTGTTTGGTTTGTATTCCCCTCATCTATCTGCACAGCATATCACTGCAATCTCAGCTTCTATCACAGTTTTTACTGCTTTGGCACTCCTGTCTCCTCTTTGGAAGGATCCTGGTATTCATATTGGGCCCACTGGATAATCCAGGATAATCTCCATCTCAAAATCCTTAGTTTTATTCCATGTACCAAGGAATAAGCACACCATTGTGGGGGGACCGTCTACCATAGGACCAAGTGAAGATTCAGTGTTCAGGAGCAGAGTACCTCAGCACAGAGCATCTCTTGTGTAGGCAGGCAGTGAGAAGACAGACTCCTTCCCCACCGCCCCCTTACCACATGCCATCATGCTGAGTTCCTTCTGTGGGGGTCTCTTCTTATAGAAACTGGGCTCCTGTCTATAAAGGTTTATAATTGATTTTCCCCTAAATTTAATAACTCTAAATAGAGACACATTTTTAGATCATAAAAACCTTTAACAGCTGGGCATGGTGGCCTACACCTGTAATCCCAGCAGCTCAGGAGGCTGAGGCAAGAGGATTGTGAGTTCAAAGCCAGCCTCAGCCACAGTGAGGCACTATGCGACTCTGTGAGACCCTGTCTCTAAATAAACTACAAAATAGGACTGGGGACGTGGCTCAGTGGTAGAGGGCCCGGGAAAAAAAAAAAAAAACTTTAACAATCAAACAATGAGGTTTTTTTGTTTGTTTTTAAGCATGAATGTTTATATTCTTAATGTGTAAAATTTTGGTTTCTGCTTTTAGTTAAGAAATTGTGGTGGACTGGAACCCCTGGTGGAGCTCCTGTATTCCAAGAATGACGAGGTGAGAAGGCATGCCAGTTGGGCTGTGATGGTCTGTGCCAGTGAGGAGCCAATGGCGGTGGAGTTATGCCGGCTCGGGTGAGTGGATGCCATCTCAAGTCTCCGGCTCAGATGAGGAGCTGAAGATGGGAAGCACTGTCTAGAGGCAGGCGTCCTTCCCCATCCCTCCCTGTCAGCTGCCCCACTGCCCTTTACCCAGCCAGCTTCATTATTTCCTTTCTCACTTCTCCATCTTGATACATGTTTCTCTTTCACTTTCCTCTGCTGTTGCCAAACCCAATCTATTTGTCTCTCAATTTTAAGACTAAAATAAAATAGGCAGGCCATGATATCATCTCAGTCTTTCTTCCCCAGCCATCCAATCCTTTTTTTTAATTATTTTTTTTTTACCAGAATTATCTAATTAACCTACCTGGCCTAATCTGTTCTTCTTACAAACAGCAGGTGAATTTAGTTGCCCTTAGCATAGCAGCAAATAGGGTTTTACAATTACTCTACTAATTCCTAACCATTTTTATTCTTTGTATATATTGCCTGGTTAGCTGAAAAGGTTGGGGTCCAATACTAGTTTTGTTTTAAATAGACAATGATTCTTTTTTCCCCCTAAAAGTGTTTGTGTTAGCTAACTTTCTATTACCACAACAAATGCCTGAAATGAATCAACTTACAAAGAGGAAAGGTTTGTTGGGCTCACTGTGTTGGAGGTTTCAGTCCATGATCAGTTGGCCTTGTTACTTTAGGGCCAGTGGCATCCTAGCAGGAAGTAAGTGACAGAGGATGGGACTGGGGTTCCAATATCCCCTGCAAAGGCATGCCCCCATGATCTAACTTCCTCCTACTAGATCCACTCTGAAAGGTTCTACCACCTTCCAAGAGCACCAAAGACTGGAAACCAAGCCTTCAACACACAAGCTTCTGGAAGACACTTAACCCAAACCACAATAGTTTTGTTTTGTTTTGTTTTCACAACCATTTGAATATGGCATATATGTTCTCCAAAAGGGTTGATTTGTCTTCATAATTTTGTCAGTATTACGTTATCTAGAAGGATCGGGGAGGCATTCAGCTTTGCATGTCAATTCCTTCAGGACCTTAAGCATGTAAGTGAGAGAGCTCAAGGTTGGATTGCTCCTAGAAAGCAAATAATATCTTTTGCTTTTATTGACAGGGCTATAGATATCCTTGAAGAAATTAATCTATCGGTGAGACGAAAAAATAAATTCAGTGAGGCAGCTTATAACAAACTGCTCAACAATAATCTCTCTCTGAAATATAGCCAGACTGGCTGTTTATTGTCAAATAACATAATTAGTGATGGATTCTATGATTATGGTCGGGTAAGTGACAGCACTTATTTGTGTTTTAGTATGCAGAGTAATAATTTTTCCTTTAATCATGATGCCATTACATGGCCATTTTATGAGCACCAAATATAATTCATATTTTTAGAGACAGAAATTTGAAAATCAGCATATTATCCTTAACTTTGGTTATAAGATTTCACATTTTTAAACAGATTTAGCCAGAATCTAATTATAGTTTAATCATCTTGCAAATGCCAGTCTCAAATGTCAGATAAGCTACAAAAGGGTCATTTTAAGTTTTGGTTCTATTACTTCTTGTGCTTAGTGAATAAAAATATGTTTTTCATTTCATTAATTAGACTCTGATTGAAACTAACCAAATTCTAGTACTAGACCTTAAAATGTAGAAGACTATTATCTTACTTAATTGCATTTATTGATGGAATTTCAAAAAAATATACAGTATAATTCAGCATTATATTGAGAAAAACAGAAAGAAAAATTAATATCTTGAGGACTTTTTGATGTGGCTGCTTAAGTTGAAATTTCTTTTTTTAAAAAAACTTTACACCAAAGGCAATAAGAGGCGTGGAGAAAACTTTAGAACCTTGCAAAACTGAGAAAACAACATGATTTAAAGACTTCAAAAAATTTAAGCATTACCTAAAGTCCCTGAGGTCAGGTAGAGCCTCTGCAAGAGGAAAAATGACAAAGGGAGGAAAACCACAGAGGAGCGAGAAAGCTAGTGGGGGCAGAGCTCAGAAAGTCCCATCACGTGTGTACTTCCTGAGGCCCTGGGGGAACTCGGAAGAGCAAAAGCCATATGCTTTGGTGGGCAGGTGCAGGAATTCAGAACTGGACTGAGCAAGGCTGGAAGCAGAAGCCTTCTTGGACCAATTGGGTTCAAAGAAGCAGAGAATACAGGACCATAAAAGATAGCTGAGCTGTATTTGCAAGGGAGGTCTCAACTATGGCAGTAGAGAATGTGAGAAATTTTGAATAATGAAAAACAACTAGTCTAAAACTTTACTCTGGCTCCTCCTCCAGCACCACCACCATACCCTTTAACACCCTGTGACACACATACCCAGTGCAAAAGCCACAAGGGGTAAACATCCTTGACAGGACAAGGTGAGAGAAGAGTAGCAACTCAATCAGAGAGATAAAGGGCTGCCAAAGACCATCAGAAGGACTTGGGTTTTAATCTGAATGAAGTGGGAAACTGGCGAGGATCTGGGGCAGAAGAAGGATGGGGTCTGTCTTCTTTTAAAAAGATCACTTTGCCTTATTCTAAAAGGATCATGAAAAATATCTTGGATGAGAACAGGATCTAACCATCAGTTAACTGGAAAGAGATCTCAGAGCTCAGAAGTTGATCCTAGACCATCCTCTTCTACCTGGCTGATAAAAATTGCCTGTCTAAGGCTTTGTTTACAACAGTAAATTCTCTCTGAGGCATATAGATGGATTGTGAACTCGGATACTTTCAGGAGCTAAGAAATAGCTAAGACAGTAAAGGTTGTGAGGAACTGGAGGGAGGTACGCCACCCAAAGGCAAGAATGCCCACAGCGTCAGTTCCGAGTTCTCTCTCTCTCTCTCTCTCTCTCTCTCTGTCTCTCTCTCTCTCCTCTCTCTCTCTCTCTCTCTCTCTCTCTCTCTAACACCATGTTATCCTCAAGGCCTTATAAACCATGAAATGCCTTGCAAATATAACATATTGTTAATATATGAGAGAAAGAGAGAGAGAAAGAGGGAGAGGGAGATACACACACACACACACATAGATATGACGTGTATGTAAATGAATTAAACAAACTGTCAAGAATATAGTCCATCAAAATTTATTTTAAAAAATACTGACTCATACAGAGAATACTTTTCAATTCTTGAACTATCTTACAGATAAATCCTGGCACTAAACTTTTGCCATTGAAGGAGCTCTGCTTTCAAGAACCAAGTGATCAACGAGCTGTACTCTTAATCAACAGTAAAGCTTCTGATAAGTGAGTCTTTGGGTGGGGGCAGGGGTGCAGGAAAACACATTTTTTTGGTTTTTTGTTTGTCGGCATGTGAATATGTGAAGATTACCAGCATGGTATCTTTCTTTCTCTTCTCCTGTATCTAACACTACCATTGAAAACAAACAGTGGTCCATAAAGTCACAGCCAGACACTGAATAACCAGCCTCCATTACCAGTGCAACCTGTTCTCTGCTCTTTTCCTTTGACACCATGTTATCCTCAATTTCCAGTGGATTTCTGAAGTCAGGATTCTCCCTCCTGGAGTAACTGCAGAAAGGGTAGATAGGAGTCAACCAAGATGAGTTCTGTTTATGAGTCTCTAGAACTGTGTACTTGAGTGTAACAACCCAGCATTTTTCTTTGAAATAAGAAGTAAATGATAGAACTAAAAAAATCAAAGCTCAACATTTTTTAAAGTGATCACATATATCTATATAGCTAATATAGTACCAAGGTGTTACATTTTATATAAATATTTCCTGTTCTAGTGTGTAAATGCTTTGTGATATTTTTTGTGTCTTAATCTCTCCTTTATGCTTTTAAAATAGTATGTTCCTGTTAAAAGTCTGCTCCAAATATGGCTTTCAGAAAGAAATCTGTTCTTTTGACAATATTGACAAATTATTTTAATTCATAAATAATTTCAAATGTGGGCTTGGATTGTGGCTCAGTGGTAGAGCGCTTGCCTGGCATATGTGAGGCACTGGGTTTGAGTTCTCAGCACCACATACAAATAAAATAAATAAAACAAAAATTTAAGAAAATAATTTCAAATGTGTCAAATTTTAGTTCTCCACCTCCATCTATGGATGATAAATCATCAGATGTTGGCTATGGACGAAGTATTTCTTCTTCATCTTCTTTAAGAAGAGGAAGTAGAGAAAAGACCAAGTAAGAAAATGATGTTTTATTTATACTCAAATAACTCTCCCCTTAATCTGGAAGTGAAATTTTTTTTAGATTTTGGCAACATGATTCTGCTTCTTCTTACAGTAATATAATTGCATAATTGCTTTTTAAACTGCTGTAGCAAAGATCTCTGAAATAGGAGCTGGGAGATTTGGGCTTTCCCCTTTTGACTGCTGTTGACCCTGCAGTATGTGGAATGACATGAGTCAGTTCTGTGAGCAGGTCTGGCTTCCTTAGCTGTCGAGGGAATGATGTGTAGCCCCTGCTTCCTAATGGCAAAAAGAATCAAATCAAAAGGGGAAAGGCCTTATAAACCATGAAATGCCTTGCAAATATAACATATTGTTATTTTCTGAATGATTATAATTGTTTGCGATATTTTCCAAATGACTCAAAAAAAAAAAAAAACCAAAAAAATTATTAGTTTTTGTATTAGTACTGGATTTGGATCTCCCACAGAAGAAAGAACAGAGCCTGCTTCTGGAAGAAACACTGTTGCTAGCAAAAGTGCTACGAAAGAAAAAGGACCCAGGTAGGAAATGTGTCATTCTATCTTCTCATTATAAACACTCCTGGCTTTTCTTTTTTTTCTCTCAGTGCTGGGGACCAAACCCAAGGCCCTGGGCATGCTAGGCAACTGCTTGAACACTGAGCTCACCCCCCAGCCTCAGAGGTGGCTTTTCACAGGAGGTTTTAGGGTCTGGTGGCGTGCTCAGTGGTAGAGCGCTTGTCTAGCATGTGAGCCCAAGACCCTGGATTCCATCCCCAATACTATGGAAAACCAAAACAGGAAGGTTTATTTCTGAAATGGGTATGTTGAAGGAGACAAGACTCCTGAGATATAATTAAAAATAATCTTTATTTTGCCCCTCCCTGTTTCTTTAAAATTTACCCAGAGAGAATTTCCTCTAACTTCAGCTGAGAGTTTAGGTCACTGTGATCACTGAAAATAACTATAAGGTCCCACAGTCACTTGAACTCAAAAATGAAAACAGGAACTGCAGGTTCTGGCCACCTTGTAAGTCCAGCCCTGAGTATTGGTTGACCTGCCCAGCACATTCCTGCCTCCCCAGGCCCGCTTTGGCCTCCAGTTTGCCCTGGCCTTTCACTCCCCTTGTCGTCAGGAGTCTTGACCCTTTAAGGCAGAAGCATCCAGAAGAGGGAAATAGGACAATGCTCTCACTTGATTGGAACAATTAATGTGACTTTGGGCCGTTTTTTTTTTTTTTTTTTCCTTTTGGTACTAGGGATTGAACTCAGAGGTGCTAAATCATTGAGCCACATCCCCAGCCCTTTTTATTTTTTATTTTGAGACAGGGTCTTACTAACTTGCTGGGGCCTCTCTAAATTGCTCAGACTGATCTCAAACTTGCCATCCTCCTGCTTCAGCCTCCCAAGTCTCCAGAATTAACAGGTGTGGGACATTTCTGTAAGATTTTTTTTCCCATTTTACATTTTTTTTCATTTTTTAAAATTTTAATTTGTTATATATGACAGCAGAATGCATTACAATTCATATTACACATATAGATCACAATTTTTCATATCTCTGTTTGTACCCAAAGTAGAGTCATACCATTCGTGTCTTCTTACATGTACTTAGGAAAATGATGTCCACCTCATTCCACCGTCTTTCCTACACCCATGTCCTTCCCCTCCCTCCCCTTTTCCCCTTTGCCCTACCTCGAGTTCATCTAATCCTCCCATGCCCCCACCACCACTACATTATGAATCAGCAGCCTTAAATCAGAGAAAACATTCGGCATTGTTTTTTGGGGGATTGGCTAACTTCACTCAGCATTATATTCTCTAACTTCATCCATTTACCTGCAAATGCCATGATTTTATTCTCTTTTAATGTTGAATAGTATTCCATTTTGTATACATACCACAATTTCTTTATCCATTCATCTACCAAAGGGCATCCAGGTTGGTTCCAGAGTTTAGCTATTGTGAATTGTGCTGCCATAAACATTGATGTGGCTGTGTCCCTGCAGTATGCTGTTTTTAAGTCCTTTTGGTAGAGACCAAGGAGTGGGATAGCTGGGTCAAATGGTGATTCCATTCCCAGTTTTCCAAGGATTCTCCATACTGCTTTCCATATTGGCTGCACCAAATTGTAGTCCCACCAGCATTGTATGAGTGTACCTTTTCCCCCCACATCTTCGCCAACACTTATTGTTGTTTGAATTCTTAATAGCTGCCATTCTGTCTGGAGTGAGATGAAATCTTAGAGTAGTTTTGATTTGCATTTCTCTAATTGCTAGCAATGATGAACATTTTTCATATATTTATTGATTGATTGTATATCTTCTTCTGATAGTGTCCAGTTTCTTGGCCCATTTATCGATTGGGTTATTTGTTTGTTTGTTTGCTTGCTTGCTTTTTGATGTTAAGGTTTTTGAATGCTTTATATATCCTAGAGATTAGTGCTCTAGCTGACATGTGTGCGGTAAAAATTTGTTCCTAAATTGTAGGCTCTCTATTCACCTCACTGATTGTTTCTTTTGCTGAGAAGAAGCTTTTTAGTTTCAATTCATCTGATTTAATTGATTCTTGATATTAATTCTTGTGTTATAGGAGTCTTATTAAGGAAGTTGTGGCCTAATCCAACATGATGGAGATTTGGGCCTAATTTTTCTTGTAATAGGTGCAGTGTATCTGGTTTAATTCCTAGGTCCTTGATCCATTTTGAGTTAAGTTTTGTGCATGGTGGGAGATAGGGGTTTAATTTCATTTTATTGCATATGGATTTCCAGTTTTCCCAGCACCATTTGTTGAAGAGGCTATCTTTTCTCCAGTGCATATTCTTGGCACCTTTGTCTAATAAAAGATAATTGCAATTTTGTGGGTTAGCCTCTGTGTCCTTTATTCTGTATCATTGGTCTGCCAGTCTGTTTTGGTGCCAATACTATGCTGTTTTTAATACTATTGCTCTGCAGTATAGCTTAAGATCTGGTATAGTGATGCCACCGGCTTCACTCTTCCTGCTAAGGATTACTTTAGCTATTCCAGATGAATTTCATGACTGCCTTTTCTATTTTGATGAGGAATGTCATTGGGATTTTGATTGGAATTGCATTAATTCTGTATAGTGCTTTTGGTAGAATGGTCTTTTTTACAATATTAATTCTGCCTATCCAAGAACATGGGAGATCTTTCCATCTTCTAAGGTCTTCTTTAATTTCTTTCTTTAGTGTTCTGTGTTTTCATTGTAGAGGTCATTCACCTCTTTCATTGATTCCCAAGTTTTTTGTTGTTGTTGTTTTGTCTTTCTTTCTTTCTTTCTTTCTTTCTTTCTTTCTTTCTTTCTTTCTTTCTTTCTTTCTATCTTTCGAGGCTATTGTAAATGGGGTAGTTTTCCTTTCAGAGAATTTGTCACTGATATACAGAAATGCCTTTGATTTATGGGCATTGATTTTGTATTCTGCTACTTTGCTGAATACATTTACTAGTTGCAGAAGTTTTCTGGTAGAATTTTTTGGGTCTTCTAGGTATAGAATCATATTGTAAGCAAATAATGCTAATTTGAATTCTTATTTACCTATCCATATTCCTTTAATTTCTTTCATTTGTCTAATTGCTCTGGCCAGTGTTTCAAAAACTATGTTAAATTGAGTGATGAAAGAGGGCATCCCTGTCTTGTTCCAGTTTTTAGAAGGAATGCTTTCAATTTTTCTCCATTTAGAATGATGTTGGCCTGTGGCTTAGCACAGAGAGCTTTTACGATGTTGAGATATGTTCCTGTTATCCTTAGTTTTTTTTACTGTTTTGAACATAAAATGGTGCTGTATTTTGTCAAATGCTTTTTCTGAATCTAGGGAGATGATCATATGGTTCTTATCTTTGCATGTCTGTTTTGGTGCCAATACTATGCTGTTTTTAATACTATTGCTCTGCAGTATAGCTTAAGATCTGGTATAGTGATGCCACCGGCTTCACTCTTCCTGCTAAGGATTACTGATTATTGATGTAATGAATTACACTATTGACTTCCATATGTTAAACCGACCTTGCATCCCTGGGGTGAACACCACTTGATTGTAGTGCACTATCTTTTTGATATTTTTTTTTGTATTCGATTTGCCAGAAATTTATTGAGAATTTTTGTATCCATGTTCATTAGATATATTGGTCTGAAGTTTTCTTTCTTTGATGTGTCTGCCTGGTTTTGAAATCAGGGTAATATTGGCCTCATAGAATGAGTTTGGAAGTGCTGCCTCTTTTTCTATTTCCTGAAAATAAATTGAAGAGTATTGGTATTAGTTATTCTTTAAAGGTCTTGTAGAACTTGGCTGGGTATTCATCCAGTCCTGGGCTTTTCTTGGTTGGTAGTCTTCAGATGGCTTCTTCAATTTCATCACTTGAAATAGATCTGTTTAAATTGTGTATATCATCCTGATTAAATCTGGGCAAATCATATGACTTTAGAAATTTGTCGATGCATTCAATATTTTGTATTTTATTGGAGTACAAGTTTTCAAAATAATTTCTAATTATATATTTCTGTAGTGTCTGTTGTGATATTTCCTTTTTCATCACATATGTTAGTAATTTGAGTTTTCTTTCTCCTTCTCTTTGTTAGCATGCCTAAGGATCTGTCAATTTCAAAGAACCAACTGTTTGTTTTGTCAGTTTTTTTAGTTGTTACTTTTGTTTCAATTTCATTGACTTCAGCTCTGATTTTAATAATTCCTGGTCTTCTACTGTTTTGGTGTTGATTTATTCTTCATTTACTAGGGCTTGAGATGTAATGGTAAGTCATTTATTTCTTGACTTTTTCTTCTTTTAAGGAATGAACTCCATGCAATGAACTTTCCTCTTATACTGCCTTCATAGTGTCCCAAAGATTTTGACACGTTGTATTTATGTTCTCATTCACCTCTAAGAATTTTTTAATCTCCTCCTTGATGTCTTTTGCAACCCATTATTCATTCAGTAGCATATTATTTAGTCTCCAGGTGTTGGAGTAGCTTTTATTTTTTATTTTATCATTGATTTCTGATTTTATTCCATTATGATCTGATAAATGCAGGGTAGTATCTCTACTTTTTATGTTCGCTAAGAGTTGTTGTGTGGAATAATATATGGTGTATTTTAAAGAAGGATCATGTGCTGCTGAGAAGAAAGTGTATCCTTCATTGAAAGATTAAAATATTCTATATATGTCAGTTAAGTATAAGTTATTAATTGTATTATTGACTCCTATAGTTTCTTTTTTCAGTTTTTGTTTGAAGGATCTATCCAGTGGTGAAAGAGGTGTGTTAAAGTCACCCAGAATTATTGTGTTGTGGTCTATTTGACTGTTGAACTTGAGAAGAGTTTGTTGGATGAACACAAACGCTCAACTGTTTGGGGCATATAAATTTATTATTATTATTATGTCTTATTGATGAATGGTTCCCTTAAGCAGTGTGAAATATCTTTCTTTATCCCTTTTGATTAACTTTGGCTTGAAGTTTACTTTATCTGATATGAGGATAGAAACCCCTGCTTGCTTCCACAGTCCATGTGAGTGGTACGATTTTTCCC